CGCTCTTGGCCGGGCTTCGCTGCCGCCTGGCGGGGCCCGAGGGTTCTGATTGGTGCGTCTGGGTCGGCCCCGCCTTTACCTCCAATCCCGGAACTGGCCCCTCTCTCTCCTGGTGTGCTGCTCGGGTTGCGCAGATACTGTTTGTCCTTAAAACCTTGCGGCGAGTTTCAAACCGCGGTACGCGAAGGGGCCGGGACGCCGCAGGATGAATAAAAATGTTGTGTTAGAAGGAGTTGTCTCTTACTGCGAGTGTGCAATGTGTTAGACTCCACGCTCAGGGACCCGAGAGGTCGGAGGAGTCCTGATGGTCGGGAGCCCAAGTCCGCCCGGCGCCAGAGCTGATACTGGGGCTCCAGACTTGTGCACCTAGATTATTATTATTAGTAATAATAATAAATACCATCTTCAGATGATGTAAACGGAAGAGATAACCCAGCCCATATCGGTCTCTCTTTTGGGTGGGTTTTTGTTTTTTTATTTTTTTATAAACACTCCCAAGTTTTGTGTACCTCTTCAATTTCTTTTTAAACCCGGAGACCAGGGTACAAGAATCTGAATTACACCCCCAGGCGATTGCAATGCGTCGCTGACCGTGGGAATGGCAGTGTCCCCATTTGACCTCCATAGAGCTGCGCTATTGACTCCTCTCGTTCACAGTTCCTCCACCTCCTGGCTCTTCCGTTTATTTCCATGGGGAAATGCTTGCAAATAAAGACGAAGAAGATGCTGTATAATGCATTTGCATGGGTTTTGTTTTGGGGTTTTGTGTGGTTTTTTCCTTTTCAAAAAGGCATAGATGGTGTGCCTGCCACTTGTTAGCTTTGGACTATGTCCACATGTTGTGTCAGCGCGTTAACTTCTCTGGTCTTAGGAACCTTGGTGGTGCACCAGTTAGGAGCTCAGAACGGAAAGGTTGGCAGTTCAGACCCACCCAGGGGCTCTGGAGGACAAAGATTTGGTGCTCTGCAGAAAGATCATAGCCAAGAAAACCGTGTGTGTGTGTGTGTGTGTGTGTGTGTGTGTGTGTTTGTTTTCTATCTCATTAGGGATACTGGCATTGACTCCCCACATACAAAAAATACCCTCCTTTTTTTCTCCAAGAAGTGTCCTTTTGTTTTTTAGTTTTTTATTTTTTTGTGTGTGTTAAGTCAAATCAGATCTGACTGGTACAGGAGGAGATTGTCCCTCCTCCAGCAGAGCATCTGGTCCTTTTGATTAAATAGACTAGGTGGAAAATTTGAAGGGCTCCAGTGCTTAATGAAAATGTGGGTCTCTGGTAAAAAATACTAAGAAGTGAAAGGCACAGTAGTCAGTCAGGCTCACAGGCTGCAATCCCTGGGAATCCTTGTTTGTAGGGAAGCTCAGAAGAGCCATTTTTATTCCCTTCACCACCAGATGGTGCCCCCTGCCTTTCCCAGTGTGTCTTTCCCTGATGGGGGCTCCCACCTTACTCCCTGCCCACTTGTGACTGTCCCTGCCTGGTGCCTTTTCACAGGTCTGTGACTCTCTCCCCTCTGTTTGCTCTCCAGCTGCTGACCGAAGGAGTCCCCAGGGGGCCCGTCCACTCCACTGCTGACCAGCCCAGTCACCTGTGCTGAGCCCACCTGAAGGCCTCATTGCCACCTGTGTGGGACCCTGTGACGGGGGGACCGACTGGCCAGAGAAGAAAACCCTCTCATGCTAGCGTTGCAGACCCCAGAGGGTGAGAAAGAGGGGGACCTCGTTCAGCCTTGAGATGTGTGGGCTCAGTCCTATAGGAACCAGGACTGCCTTCTCCCCAGAAAACAAGGCAGCTACACCTTCCCTCCTTGGTCAGCAATTCCAGGCCTTTCAGCTTGTTACCACAGCCTCGTTATGTTGTAATTAAGTCACGTTCCTCAGGACTATACCAAGGAAGTAACCATTCACCTCTCCCTTTGCAAATTAACAACATCTCTAATTGGGTGTAAAATAAAAATCAATGTCCCAACAAGTCCTATGATGTCAACAGCCCATCATCCTCTGATCAACAACAAAGAGTGTGACTGCTCCCAGTTGTTAAAAGTTCCAGCAAGCAAAGAACGGATGTTTAATCTTGCCTTTGTGGTCTTTTTTTTTATTACTTTTGGGGGTTGTAATGGAAACAGCTTTAGCATCCCAAGTCCCATCCCTTCCCTCCTTGCTCCCCCTCTCCAGTCCAAGCAGGAAGCCCTTTGGCATTGACCTGTGTGCTGTGGGTGGAGGTAGCCAGGATTACAAGTCTGAGGGAACTGATTTCCTTGCTGGCACTTTGTAACTCTTCCTCTGGATCTCCTGAAGGACTGAATTAGATAATCTTTCTCAGTCCCATTGATTCCTTTAGTAACAGACAGCGTCCTGCCCTCTGGTGTACAATGGGCCATCCAGGAATCCATATAGCTGTGCTTGGTTCCAGTCCTGTTGCCACATGGCTGCAGGAAGGACGGGCCCCCTTCCTTCTGGCTGGAATAGCGTCTCATGGCCCTACTCTGTTCTGTCTACCATTCTTTGTGCTCTATATACAGTGAAAACAGCGAGGTACCATCTAGCTACCATGAGTGCTGGAGGGGGAGCACTATTGCACCCAGTTCCCAGCCTTGGGGTTCTGACAGCCTGAAGTGTCCTAGGGAGTGCACCCAGTTGGTGGAGCACATCATTAGAATGCAAGGATGGAGGTGCCTGCGGCCTGGGGAGTCCAGGAACGTTCGTGGTGAACCTGAGGCAAGCCAGGCCGAGAAACATGAGAATATTCCAGGCATCAGCAGTTTACTTGTTCAAATGCAGCCTCGACCCCAGGCCAGCTTCTGAGGCACCATGTGGGCCCTGTCGCATAGGAGTGGAATACCCCCCTTTGTAGGTGGTTACTAGGCCCCTCCGTGGATTGACTGGTGGGAAGTGGAGCAGGCCGATGGCTGGCCCTGATACCCTACCCTTGGACACCCTTTGGTCCTTTATGTGGCAGGTCCCTTGTGGGTGCTGAGATGGCCAATGAGAATCATGGCAGCCCCCGGGAGGAAGCGTCTTTGCTGAGTCACTCCCCAGGGACCTCCAATCAGAGCCAACCCTGCTCTCCAAAGCCTGCCCGCCTGCCGCAGGACCTCCCAGGTACTGAAGGGGCAGCTTGTGGGGTGGTGGGAGTGCAGAGGAGCAAGGGGGCAGCCCTGAGCTGGGTGGGGTTCTGCTTGTTTGCAGAGGAGCTGGTGCATGCTGGCTGGGAGAAGTGCTGGAGCAGGAGGGAGAACCGGCCCTACTACTTCAACCGATTCACCAACCAGTCCCTGTGGGAGATGCCTGTGCTGGGCCAGCACGATGTGATTGTGAGTGCCAGCCTTGGTGGGCAGCGTGGTTGTCCCCCAAGTGTACCCTGGGCAGGGACCATGCCTCTTACCCTGGGCATACAAAGACAGGCAGGACATATCAGCCCCTGTCCGCATGGAACCTCCTGTCAAACAAAGAGAGAGAAGTAAATGGGCTAATCCTGTGTGATGTTGAACTTCAAGTTGGGCATTGTGCCAGGGACACAGTTGCAAATGAGATGTGGGGCCTGCTCCACTGGAGACGGGCTGGGACAAGTTAACCATAGGGTTCCAGGAGAGGCACCTGTGGAACAAGTCTGGCCTGGGGAGGGAAAAGGGTGAGGAGAGCTGCTTGGAGACATAATGATGAGGAGGCTGGTGGGAGAAGCTGGAAGGAGAGAGTCCCAGGGCCTGAGATGTCTGTGTGATGGGCGAGTGCAGGTGCAGGCTAACTGACAGGAAGAGGACTCAGTTGGAGCAAACTGGGTGTCCCCATTTTGCAGATGAAGAAACTGGGGTATAAAGAAAGAGGCCATGACTCTCCTAGGCCCTCAGAGAGCAGGATGTGCAGCTGCCTTTGACTTGAGGGCCCTGAGGATGAATGTGCAGGCACGCTCTCCCAAGTCCTGAAAGTGCCGCCCACAGCGTTTCACTTTTCCAGTTAGACATTTCTTGAATCTTTCATTCTATCTTGTTCCGGAGAAACAATTAACAGACCGAATGCTGATTTCATGCCAAGTGTCTGCCAGGCAGGTCATGGCCATGGACTCACCTGATAATCCTCTCGTGGTGAGGTCATTGCTGGAAGCTGAAGGAGAGGAAGGGCAGTAAACTCGGTGCCTGTGGTCACACGAGCGAGTAGAGAGCAAGAGAGGTGCTCTGCTGAGTGTCAGCCTCTCCTGGCTTCCTCTCCACGGGACGGGGTGAGCAAGAGGCCCCAGTTCTAACTCTGCTGATCTCCCATCACTAGTCGGACCCTTTGGGGCTGAATGCGACCCCATTGCCCCAAGACTCAACCCTGGTGGAAAATCCCCCGGCTGAGAACAAGCCCCGAAAGAGGCAGCTCTCAGAAGAGCAGCCGAGCGGCAATGGTGTGAAGAAGCCCAAGGTGAGTGTCGGCCTCTCAGCCCCGGGGCGTCCAGGCCGGCGTCCACGTGGCTCCTGGGCACCCGCTGATCTGGAGGGGCTCTGACTGCTGGGGTGTCGAAGGCCATCTGCTGAACTTCTAAGCCCGCTTCCTTGGTGATTCTTCCTCTAGATTGAAATCTCTGTGACAGCCACGGGCCAGTCTGTGCCCAGCTCACCTAGTGTCCCAGGAACCCCAATTCTGAAGATGTGGGGCGCATCCCCTGAAGATAAGCAGCAGGCAGCTCTCCTCCGGCCCACCGAGTGAGGCTTGGGCACGGCTCCCTGATCGCCAGCCCCCCTGGGACAGCGGTGGGCGGGGCACGCTCCCCCCTGCTCCACTGCTCTGCTCATGGCTCCTGTCTGTGCCCCAGGGTGTACTGGGACCTGGACATCCAGACCAACGCTGTCATCAAGCACCGGGGGCCTTCGGAGGTGCTGCCCCCACACCCCGAGGTGGAGCTGCTCCGCTCCCAGCTCATCCTGAAGCTCCGGCAGCACTACCGGGAGCTGTGCCAGCAGCGGGAGGGTAAAGTCCCAGCCTCACCCCTCGTTTCCATTCACTGGGAGGAAGTGCACGGTGGGCGTGGAGAAGGGGGCTGGTGTGTGCACAAAAAAGGGATGGGACCCACCAGCTGGAGTCCCCTCCGCTCCCCGCTGCTGTGACTTGGGCCTCAGCTTCCTGACCTGTAGGACACACAGCAGCAGTGCCTCCTCGTAAGGACGGCTGGGATCAGTAACAGCAAGGGTGCTGGGCCCTGTGCAAAGCCTCCTCGGTATCCATAACGTGGCCTAAATCCAGGTGCCTACGTCTCCCGGGCCTGTTAGGACGCGAGTGAAATGATGTGCTAATTAAACAGCATTCTTTATTTATAGTTAGTACGGAGACCTTAACTTTATTAAAACAAAGCCTCGCGCCTCCCCCCGTTTTTTAAAGTTATGTAACACACTATAAACCAGTGATTCTGGTGGAGTAGGATGTAAACTTCTGAACTTACAGGTTCCACATTTTACTGGCTGTTGTGTCCCACAAGCTGGGCAGGTCCATGGAAGCTCTGACCCCACACCCTCACCAGCTCTCTTGTCCTGCAGGCATTGAACCTCCCCGGGAGTCTTTCAACCGCTGGATGCTGGAGCGCAAGGTGGTGGACAAAGGCTCAGACCCCCTGTTGCCCAGCAACTGCGAACCAGTCGTGTCGCCTTCCATGTTTCGAGAAATCATGAATGACATTCCCATCAGGTAGAGCCCAGAGCGGGGGAGGCCCTGTGCCCTGCGCTTCCTGTGCCTGGCACATACAGAGGGATCTGACACCGCCTGCTCTCTAACCCAGGTTATCGCGAATCAAGTTCCGGGAGGAAGCCAAGCGCCTGCTCTTTAAGTACGCTGAGGCTGCCAGGCGGCTCATCGAGTCCAGGTGTGGCCTTGTCCTCCTGCCCTAGGCAGGATGAGTCTGTGACCAGAGGGGAGGAGGAAGGTCACATGTCCCACACTCACTTGGCTCACAGGCTGGGGGTCAGTGCCCTTTGACAGTGTCCCATAGGATGGACGAGGCTGACAGCTATGCTCTGTGCAGAGCTGAGTCTCCTCCCCTCCCACTTACCTGGCAGGAGTGCATCCCCAGACAGCAGGAAGGTGGTCAAGTGGAACGTGGAAGACACCTTCAGCTGGCTGCGGAAAGACCACTCGGCCTCCAAGGAGGACTACATGGTGAGTGGACCTGCGGCAAGGTCAGCCTGCAGGTTCCGCAGCCTCTTCTCCCAGAGTACATTTCCATGGAGGCTCTTAAGAGCACCTGCCTGATGATTGTGCCTCCTCTCAGAACGATCTCTGTATGTGCACATACCACAGCATAGAGCTGCCACCCAACCATCCTGCTCTTGACGTATCCAGAGTAATTCTGTAGTCGGGCCAAAGCCCATCACCGTGGAAGCCTCTCACCAGCATCAGTGGTCGGCCTGCTTTTTGGGGCTGTTTGTCGCAGCTTTTCCACAAGAGACTGGGTTTGCTCTATCACATGTAGTGAATGGAGTAAGTGCTCACTAGGCAGGGTTGCGTGTCAAGATGACAAATGCAGGGAGTTCTGGTGGCCTAGTGGCAAGAAGCTGCACTGCAATCCCAGAGGTGCGCAGTTCAAATCCACCAGATGTTCAGCTGGAGAAGGAGGGAAAGTCTCCTCCTGTACCAGTCAGATCACACACACACACCCCATCCCCCAAAAAACAAATGCCCAAGTGACATCACTTCTAGGTAAAACAAAGACCTTCTCTTGCCCACTGGCCTAGCAGAGGCCCACAGCCTCCTGCCAGAGCCCCAATGGCCGTGTCCCCCCAGGACCGGCTCGAGCACCTGCGGAAGCAGTGTGGCCCTCATGTCTCGGCTGCAGCCAAGGACTCCGTGGAAGGCATCTGCAGCAAGATCTACCACATCTCCCTGGAGTATGTCAAACGGATACGTGAGAAGCACCTTGCTGTGCTCAAGGAAAACAACATCTCAGGTACGAGATCAGGACAGACTGATGCCATGTCCCTGTCCTGAGAAGAAGGAACAAACAGAGCTGGGTTTCTAAGCCATGGGCTGGCATGAGAGGCTCATTTATCAGAAGTCTGAGAGGGCAGCTTCAGTGTTAGTTGTTTCAGCACAGTGAGGGAAGAAAGAGTGGGGGCAGACTTGAGTTGACTTCTGTCTACTTCGAGTGTCAGTCCCCAGATTGGGGTGTCACCTCCACTGAGGGTTGTAAAGGAATTCCATGAAAAGTCCAAGGGGTGTGATCCCTAAGGCCCTGGAAGCCATGCAGCTGTGGTAATGATGGAGAGGCACTTCACCAGGCAGGACTATGACCAGCCTGCTGGACCACCAGACGGCCAGCTGGGGCCTGTTCTGTACTCAGCATGCTGGCACCACTGGGCACTGCCCTGCCAGTCGTATTTTCTGTTATTTGTTCACTGGCGTAATACTCTTGGATGACCACAGTCAGAGAGTCCTCTGAGGAGAGGCATTCACCTCCCTTGGTTCCTGGGAGCCCTGGCACACGGACCCCGGGCTGTGGGCTGACACCGAGCAGAGCCCTCACTGCTGTCCCTGCCCACAGAGGAGGTGGAGGCCTCTGAGGTAGAGCCTCGCCTCGTGTACTGCTACCCGGTCCGACTGGCTGTGTCTGCGCCCCCCATGCCCAGCGTGGAGATGCACATGGAGAACAACGTGGTCTGCATTCGTTATAAGGGCGAGATGGTCAAGGTCAGCCGCAACTACTTCAGCAAGCTGGTAAGAGCTGGCTGGCTTTCCCACCTGTGCAGGAGTCACCCTCACTGAGGGGACTAGTTGGGGTGCAGGAGTCTTGAGCTCACCAGTCCAGTGATGAGGATGTGGGGGAGGCCACTGACTCCCACTGCTTTCTGTCCCCAGTGGCTCCTTTATCGCTATAGCTGCATCGACGACTCTGCCTTTGAGAAGTTCCTGCCTCGAGTCTGGTGTCTCTTGCGGCGGTACCAGGTACAGACCTGGGCGTCAAAGGGAACCACTCTCCTAGAGGGAGCGGGGCTGGGGGTGGGGGGAGGTAAAGCAGGTGGTGACTGCATCTTCCTGCAGATGATGTTTGGTGTGGGCCTCTACGAGGGGACGGGCCTGCAGGGCTCCCTGCCCGTGCACGTCTTTGAGGCCCTCCACCGGCTCTTTGGTGTCAGCTTCGAGTGCTTCGCCTCACCCCTCAACTGCTACTTTCGCCAGTACTGCTCTGCCTTCCCCGACACAGATGGTTACTTCGGCTCCCGAGGGTGAGTGGCCAGGCTGCTGGCCCCTTGGTGCCCAGGCTTGGGAAGCTGTCCCCAGAGCACACAGCCCACCTTGGCTGGCTGCACCACACGCTGTAGAACCAGAGAGCCAGGCAGGCGTGGGTGTAGTTTCTGTCTTAACCAGACAGTTGTGAGGTCTTGGGAACCTTGGCTTTTCTGATGCCTCAGCGTAGGCATGTGGCATCCTCTTACCAGCCTTTATGTCTCTCGGGGAATTATTTCAGGTGTGGAATAGCAATGCCTAGTTCCAAGCACTGAGAGGATTGAGAAGTGGTAACACACCTCGAAGACTTACAGACTAGAGGTGGGGATGAGCACAGGTATAAGGAGAGGATATGCTGTCTCTAGCAGGAATACCCAGCAAAGTGGTGGGCTTGGGAAGCCTGGAGAATGGGGGATACCTGGGCCTGGCATTGTTTTGGGGGGAGTGGGTGAGAGCGAGTGTTTAATCCCCACACTTCCACTCACTTCCTCACGGACTGGGACGTCTGAGTCTCAGAGTCCATCGTCCCCATCTTAATGGAGCTGAGCAGTTTGTGCCCCAGGGAAGATGATCAGGTGTTCCGAGTGGTGGCCCGTTTGGGCTGAGGGACCAGGCATGGTTATGCTTCCTTCTGTCCCCAGACCCTGCCTTGATTTTTCCCCGATGAGCGGCTCCTTCGAGGCCAACCCACCATTCTGCGAGGAGCTCATGGACGCTATGGTGTCTCACTTTGAGGTGAGTGATTTGCTTCTGCCAGGTATTCAGTGGGCCGGCTTGCCTGTTGCCAGGAAGGCAGCCCCTTATGGCCACTTTCCCCTCACACAGAAACTGCTTGAGAGCTCCCTGGAGCCCCTGTCCTTCATCGTGTTCATCCCCGAGTGGCGGGAGCCCCCGACGCCTGCGCTCACCCGCATGGAGCAGAGCCGCTTCAAACGCCACCAGCTGATTCTGCCCGCCTTTGAGCACGAGTACCGGAGTGGCTCCCAGCACATCTGCAAGAAGTGGGTGCCTGGGAAAGCGGGGTTCTGAGAGCCAGGCTGGCTCCAGGTGCGCCCGCCCTGATCACCTCCTTCGCCCCGCAGGGAGGAAATGCACTACAAGGCGGTCCACAACACAGCCGTGCTCTTCCTGCAGAACGAGCCGGGCTTCGCCAAGTGGGGCCCGACGCCCGAGCGGCTGCAGGAGCTGAGCGCCGCCTACCGGCAGTCAGGCCGCAACCACAGCTCCAGCTCCTCTTCATCGTCCTCGGAGGCCAAGGACAGGGACTCGGGCCGGGAGCAGGGGCCCAGCCGTGACCCTCACCCCACTTAGCACTCTGCAGGGAGGAGGAGCTCAGGGTGCTGGGAAGATGGAGTACTGGGACTCCGAGGCCGAGTGGACCCCATGGCCCTCCTCCTGGGGTGGCAGCAGGACTCAGCTACCACCCACATAGGAAGATGACGGCTCTGCCAGGGCTTCCCTCCCTGTCCCCCAACCCACTTCACGTCCGCTGTAAATAGTCCCCATGTCCCCCATCCCACGCCCTAGCCCTCCTGTCCCCACCTTGTTTCCTTGGTAAAATACAGAAACCCTCCCAAGAATGTGTGAGGGTCTTGAGGGCAGAGAAAGCGGAGGAACCTGACGCTATTCCTGGGACCACATCCAGACTCACCTCCTGGTCCCTGGGCCTTCACACCTACCCAGGCCCTGTAACCCACCGGCCTACAGAGCCCAGCTCCCAGCTCTATACTCCTGGGCAGAGCCTGTGCTAACACCTGGAGCAGAAAGCTGGAGGCTGTTTCCCAGGCACCCCACAGGCAGCGGGGCAGCTCAACTCCAGGGGCTCTGGCCAGTTAAGCCATTTCTCACCTTGCGACCTCTGGAACTAAGGCAGGAAAGCCACACTCCTCCCTTAGGTCCTTGCCTGGATCAGTGTAGCAGCAAGTGGACACAGTGAGCTGGTCAGGACTGGACTCTGGTCCCTTTATTGAGACTTGAGGAGCCCACTGCTCCATCAGTCAAAAATAAAGTTGTTCTCTCCCAAAGCCTGCCTGCAGGCTGGGGGCCTCAGCAAGTCCTGGCTGGGGCCTGTGGCCATCCCACCCCTGACAGCAAAGGTTTGGCTCTCTCATAGTAGTGTCGCGCTGGCTGCCCAGTATCTGGGGACCCCAGAAGGAGAGCTGAGTCCTAGAGGCTTCTCACCCCTGGCAGAGGGCCTTGATATCTGTGGTCTGTGAAGACCCTGGGGCGCTCAGTCATCGTCGTTGATGGTGATGACGTCGTACTCGATGCCCTGGTGCTGCAGCTCTTGGATGTGCCCTGGCACTGGCTCCTCGGGGAACAGGCCCTGGGCCTGGGCCATGGCGGCATCAGCCACCGCTGCCGGGGAGGGAGCTGGGTGAGCCCAAGCCCCAGGCGCCGGGTCCACACCCTGGTCCCCAGGGACCGGCTCCATACCTGAGACAGCTGAATGTGCTGCAGCCTCCAGCTGAGCCTGTGTGACAAGCTGCTGGCCTGCAGACACGGGCACGTACTGGATCTGGAAGGGAAAGGCCAGGTGATGAGCTCCAGCCCAGGCCTTAGCCCTGCCTCCCTGTCCCAAGGGCCCTACCTGGGATTCCTGCAGGAACGGGGTTCCCTGTTCATACTGGATGTGTGTGATCTGGCCTTCCTGTAGCTGGAAAGAGAAGCCAACCCCATGATCCAGGAGAAATGAATCCGGGGGACGGCTGTGCCGCCCCGCCCTCACACCCCACTCCAACTGCAGGCCTAGCCTACCTGGATGTGATGGCCTTCAGGGACCACAACGTATTCCTGGGGGAGCAAGTGCTGGACTCCGTCTGGGGAGATGATGTACTGTACCTAAAGACAGGCAGGGGCAGGCATTGGGTGCCTTTCACTGAGCTTAGGGAGGCAGGATGGGGCCTGCAGGCCACCTACCTCAGCAACAGCAGGAGAAGGGAGGTCTGGGGAGGGTGGGCAAAGCCGAGGTCGTCAGATGCTGCTCACCTGGTTATCAGACGTCACCAGCTGCTGGACTGTCTGGCCGTCTGCTGTAGTAATCTCCTGGATATAGGCTTCCTCCTGCCAGGGCCAAGCCAGCTCTAGCCTCCGTGCCCAGCACCACCGCACCCATGCCAGCAGACCCACCCCCGGTCTCACCTGGTTGCTGACCGTCTGCTCCTGGGCCACGATGATGTGCTCCTGGCCCAGGGCCTGCTGCAGTCGCTCCGGGCCCAGGACTCCATGACCAGACTGGAGGGCTGCTGGGCAGAGGGGGAGACACTCAGCACAGGCCGGGAACCCTGAGCCGCGTGTCCCCGCTCCAGCCAAGGCAGCCTTCAGGGTGGTGGCTCGGCCACAAGGCCCCGGGGGCAGCTCACTGTGCAGAGTGGCCAGTGTCTCCTCGTCACTGTTGAGGATGATGGTCTGGGTGGGGGTCTGGGCTGGGGCCGCCGCCAGCTTCCTCCCGTCAGGACTGTGCAGCCGCTGGATGTGAAACTTGAGGTGCCCGTTCCGGTTGAAGCTGAGGGGAGGGGATGCAGCTCAGACCCAGCTCGGCCTGTGACCCGCAGCCCCCCGCCCCGCCCCGCTGGGTGCCTGGCCTCACCGCTGCCCGCAGAGGTGACACTCGAAGGGCTTCTCATTGGTGTGGGTCAGCACGTGACGCCGCAGGTCTTTCTTGTTCTTGGAGGCGAAGCTGCACTGGGTGCACTGGTGGGGCCGCAGGCTCGAGTGCTGCGCCATGTGGGCCTGCGGGGGTACAGGGTGAGCTGGCAGGCAGGCTGATAGCAAAGGCACACCCCAGACCTCTACAGGGCTGTGCAACAGCAAGGAGCTGGGGACAAGTTTACACCAGACCAGGATGGTGCTGAATGACCACCCTCGGCTCCATCAGGTCACTTGGCCAATCTTGTCCCTGCTGTTTACCCGGATGTAACTCACAGGACACCCTTGGAAGGGGTCCTCCAGCCCTGTCATCCCAGGCTCAGAACCCCCACCTCACTGCATTACGTCCTGTAGAGGGTGGCCTTGGAGGCTCTTCAGCTGAGCTGCGGTGGGGCCTGAAAGCTGGGAGCACCCGCCTTCTCAGCACCTCTCCTCACATCACTCCTGAATGTCAGCTCTCCCTCCGCACGCCACCGTCACCACACCTCTGTGCCTTCACTCCTACAGGCCGAGTGCGACCTCCCCCGTGTGACCTGTTCCTTGTCCCCGTGACACGGTCTCTGCCGTGCCCTCCTCTAGCGCACGCACTTTGTTCTGATTGGGGACGCTGCTGGCATTAGCCCTGTCTGTCTGGTCTGTCCCTGCCCACTGGACTGCAAGTTCTCTGAGTGTTGGGATCTTGCTGAGCCATCCTGGTGACTCTCAAGGGGACAGAGCCTGGCTCCAGGGTATACTCAATAAAGCTTTGTTATACAAATGAGCGGCTGAGTGAGTGAGTGAGACCACCACCTACCCGGACCTCTGGCCAGTGGCGGGCACTGAACGAGCAGTCGGGGCACTTGAAGGCACTGGGCCCGGCATGGGCCCGCTTGTGGCTCTCCATCTCGGCCCGGCCTGGGAAGGCCTCAGCACAGATCTTGCAGGAAAACTTCTTCGATGCTGCAGATGGTGAGGATGGGGGCGCGACCAGGCCCCGGGCTTTCCCAGCTGCCGGAGGGGGAGAGGCAGAGGCCTGGAGGTCCCCGCCTTGCTGAGTCCTGACTGGAGATGGGGGTTCAGGGCCGTCTCTAGGCAGCCCCCCACATTGCAGCAGGGGCCACTTGGTGCCTGAGGCCAAGGCTTCGGGACCCGGGAAGGAGATGGAGCCATCGGCAGTCAACTGTTGAGACACAGGCAGTGTGAGGGGCCGTAGGGTGTGTGGGGAGGTGAGGGCAGGGACAGGCCACCCACGGTCTCACCTCGATGTGGTGCAGCTGGGTGCCGTCAGCAGCCATGATGTAGTGGGTGCCAGTCTCCTTCAGGGCCTCGCTCACCACCATGGCCTGGGCCGCCTCCCCGGGGGGCTCCGCACTGTAGGCAGAAGGAGAGCCATGGGCAGCTGGCAGAGGAGGGAGGGCTAAGGGGATCTCCTTCACCAAGGACCAGTAACCTGCTTGGGGACTCGAGGTGAACACCAGCTGCACTCCAGCTCTGCCTTTTGCCAAGGGACCTTCCACTGTTTTCTCTGGAGACAGTCCTCACACGCAGTGTACACTGGCTGTTAAGTACCGCTGAGTCAGAACCAACCCATAGCTGACCCTCCAGTGGGTTTTCAGAAGCAGTAAATGGCACGGGAGGAGACTGTCCATCTTTCTCCCGCGGAGCAGCTGGTGGGTTTGAACCACGTGCTTTAAGGTTGGCAGCACAGCTTCTTACCACTCGGCCACCAGGGCTCCAAGTGGTGTTGGGGGCCATCGATTCAATCTTGGCTCCGAGCAACCACGTGACAGCGCAGACCCCTCCTCAGGGGTCCCCCAGGGAGAGTTACTGCAGCAGATCCCACGTCTCGGTGGGTTTGCACACCAGCCATCTGATTAGCAGCCAAGCACTCAACCACTGCACCACCACAGCTTCTTACCCAGCAGCCAGTGCTGCTCATACAGCCAGGAGGAGCCCTGGTGGACCCTTCCCGAGCGGGACAGGCATAGAATGGGGCAGTAATTTATGGCTACGAACTCTGTGGCTTCAGATACCGCAGGGGAGGAAGGCTAAGAAGACCTAGAAGACGAGGGAAAGGCAGAGACCCTACTCCCGGCACTGGCCCAGAGCACAGCCAGGTCCTGCCTCCCATCCCAGCTAAACAACTGGGGACGTAGATTCTTCCTCAGACCATGTGGTTGGTGTTCAGGGAACATGTAAGCATTTAAGCCTCCAACAAACTCAGTGTAGCAGAAACCAAGTGTGGATGCAGGCAGGACTGGAGAATCCTCAGTGTCCAGCAGAGAGAGGTCAGGTGGGCTCTGCACACAGGGACCTGAGCTCGAATCTGCACTACTTCAGACTAACCTTAACCCTTCTAAGAATTCGCATTGGTAAAACAAGGAAAATATGGATTTCACAGGCTTCACTGAGATGAGGCAAAAATCCAGCTCGTACATACAAGGAGGCAAGAAACATGAGTTCCTGACTTGCTGGGGACGCGGCTCCCCCAGTACCCAGCCACTTTCTACCTCTCAGGGGTTTGCCCCCTGCTAGCTAGACTGGAATGGGCAGGGCTCTCAACTGACCGCAGCATGTTTTTAAAAGACTGCAGGGGAACCTGCAGGCTCAACATCTCACCTGTAAGGTGTGCCAGGAGCTGATATCCCCTCCTCCATAGGTGGTGCTGTGATGACACTGTAGCCCGCTCCGCCAAACGGCCCAGGCGCCAGGGTGATCTGCTGCAGGTCAGGCGGGCCCAGCTGGCTCTCAGCTGCCACGCTGCCCCCTGGCTCTGCCACGTGAAGGGTGACCAGCTGTGGAGCGGCCCCTGCTGGGGAGGGCTGCTCGCCAGAAGATGCTAATTCTGCTTCATCGGACTTGACCACAGCCACCTGTGAAGGCATTGGGGGACACTGGGGTAGGACTGGAGGTGAAGATCCACAATTACCTCCGCACCCCAAGGTTCACCCACATTCCCGCCAGATCTGGAGCCATCTCCACAGATTTGTACAATCAAAATGCTTTCCAGATCTCACCCAGCAACTGGAAACAGACTCAACAAGAATAAGACAGAGTGACTGCCCCGCGGCACCACTGGGCAATGTCGGGGGATTCTTTCGGCTGTCTTAATTCAGGTGGTGACAGTTGTCTGGCAGGTGCTGCTAAACATCTCACAATGCACAGGGCAGCCCCTTCTTCAAACAAATAATTATTTGGAGACCAGGCTTATTGGTCTGTTGTAGATGAGTGGAACCCCCAGAAACCCTTCAAACTGGGAACAGAAATTCCCTCTATAACTCAACTTTCAGCAAACAACAGGGAGGCCTATAAGGTGATCGATAACACCAGGAGCAAATGCACTCCTTAGAACAAGCAGCCAGGTAAGGCCAAAAGGGCAGCATTTGTCTGGGGCAACTGACTGGAAGATATCTATATTTGTTCCCATTCCAAAGAAGGTTGACCCAACAGAGTGTGGAAACTACAGAACAATAGCATTGATTTCACATGCAAGCAAGATTCTACTGAAGATTATCCAAAAACGACTGGAACAGCACATCAGCAGAGAACTGCCAGAAGTCCAGGCTGGGTTTAGAAGGGGTCGTGGTACTAGGGATATTGTAGCTGATGTTAGATGGATCTTAGCTGAAAGCAGGGAATACCAGAAGAATGTCTATCTGTGTTTCATTGATTATGCAAAGGCTTTTGACTGTGTGGATTATAACAAACTGTGGCTGACTCTGAGAAGAATGGGAATCCCAGAACACTTGATCATGCTAATGAGAAACCTACACTTGGACCAAGAGGCAGTCGTCAGAACAGAGCTGGGTAACACTGCATGGTTCAAAATTGGGAAGGGTGTACGCCAGGGATGTGTCCTATCTCCATACCTTTTCAACCTATACGCAGAACAGATTATCCGAGAGGCTGGGCTCTATGAGGAGAAATGTGGCATCAGGATTGGTGGAAGATCTATTAAAAATCTGCGTTATGCAGATGACACAATCCTGCTTGCTGAAACTGAGGAGGACCTCATGCACTTGCTACGAAGGGTCAAGGACTGCAGCCTTCAGTATGGATTGAGGCTCAATGTCAAGAAGACAAAGATTCTCACCACTGGACCAACTGGCAGCATCAGGATGGATGGCAAAGAGATTGAGATTGTTTACAGCTTCAGTTTGTTCGGCTCCACTGTCAACACTCTTGGCACCAGCAGCCAGGATATAAAAAAATCCTCTCTAAAGTACTCAGGAGCAACGGTGTCTCTCTGGAGACTAAGGTGCGCCTGATACAGGCCATGGTCTTTGCAATCACTTATGCGTCAGAGAGTTGGACAATGACTAGGGAGGATAGAAGGACAATTGATGCTTTTGAGCTGTGGTGCTGGAGAAGAGTGCTGAATGTACCATGGACTGCCAAGAAAACAAACAGAGTCAGCCTGGAGAGGGTTAAACCAGGCTGCTCCTTCTGAGTAGCAAGGATTCTGGGGCTTCGTCTGATATACTTTGGACATGCTGTAAGGAGAGACAGGTCCTTGGAGAGGGACATCATACTTGGGAGGGTGGAGGGACAGCGCAGGAGGGGAAGACCCTCTATAAGGTGGATTGATTCAGTGACTGGGGTGATCGGGATGGGTGTGTCGGAGGCAGTGCGACTGGCACAGGATAGAGCAGGGTTTAGGGCTGTTGTACATAGGGTCGCTATGAGTCGCAAAAGACTCGACGGCACATGACAACAACAACAACAAGGCTCAGGCGGTGGGAAGGGATAGGAAAGAAGGACAAACAGGAATGAGAAACACAAGGAGGAAGTAGGCGGAGTGCTGCTGTGATGTGGGGCTGTAATCCAAGTCCCAGAGGACAGTCCAGATAAAATTCATTTTAAAAATAAATAAGTAAAATGTGGTGTTAGTTTAACTGTACTGTGTATACTTTTGTGAAGAAATTAAAGGCTTGCTGACATGTGTTCTGTTAAAATACCCTAAAAGGCAGAGACACCTAAGTGTGCTTTGTTATTTAGGCTCTATCTAGAAATGATTATTGGAACTGTTTACATTTTCAGGTCCTTTTTCTATATATTAATAGTTTTCTTACACATTTCTCACTGACACCACTGCAAGGGACATGCTGCTATGTATTACTTGCCTCAAAAGACAAAGGATAGAATTTGTTAATGTATAAAAAAAATTCCCCAAACCACAACCATTATTTGTCTGTGGTTGGTTCTGGGGAAGAATACTGATAAGCTTTTGATGAGGAAACCAATTTGCTTTGTAGATTTTCAGTCAAATCGCAATAAAAATATTTTAAAGAATAATTATTATAATTTGGCCCTAAATTGTAACAGTGCTAAGGTTAAGAAATCCTACAGAATTCTATCTTATACTATGTATGAAAGAAACATAAAAAGGACCGATGATGTAAAAATACGTGCTAACACAATAAACCACTAGAACAAAACGTAAAGACAGAGCTTCAGAACCTGGTATTTGGCTATGGATTCTTTGCTATGACACCAAAATGCATGAGCAACGAAGAAAAAAAAGGGGGAAATCCCAGACACTATAAATAATGTTTGTGCATTATCACACAAGTGAAAAGACCACTACAGACAGGGAGGAAATCTGCGGGACTCGGATCTCATGAGGGCTTCAAGTCCAGACTATATAAAGAATGTCAGCAACACACGAAGACTGTACATACAATGTCTGTCCTCTCCGTCGGCCTTATTTCACTCAGCACAACGCTATCAAGGCTCGTTCAGAGCAAAGCATCTGTGAGACCACCCTTTCGTTTCTCTCTATGGTAGAATATATTCCACCGGAGAGAGAGGCCAGGATTTGTTTATCCTAAAATTTTAGGGTGTGCATATTTTACCATATTTTAAAAAACAAAACCCAAACATGAAAAGTTAGAACTCTATCCTACTCCAGGGCACACTTCAAATGGATTAGAGACTGAAATGTACAAAATGAAGAATTAAAGAAATTTTTTTAAAATGTATTTTTAGGCGAGCTCTGGTGACCTAGTGGCAAGAAGGTGTACTGCAATCCTAGAGGTGCATGGTTCAAATCCACCAGATGCTCTGCTGGAGAAGGAGGAACAATCAATCTCCTCCGGTACCAGTGAGATCTGATTTGACAGTACACACACAAAATAATAAAAAAAAAATTTTTTTTAAAAAAAGTATTTTTAATAGTCTGGGAGTAGAAGATTCTAATCATAACGGGGGTGGGGGGAGAACAAAGATGGTAAGGGCCATGGCAAAATAAAGCAAAAGGCAAAGGAATCCGAGGGAAATGTGAAGAATTCATATGCGAGAAAAAGGGGAACTTCCTTCACAGGTACTTCCTCACAGGAGCTTTGGTGCAGCAGGTGAAACCCTGGCTGCTAACCCGAAGGCCTACGGTTCAAAGCCGCCAGCCACTCGATGGGATCAAGAAGTGGCAGTCTTTGCTTAACAGTCCAATGATAATAATTTAGAAAATATTAATAAAACCTGAAAGCAACCCCAACTAATAATGGACAAATCAATTTGTGAACATCCATGTGATAATTAAAAAAAAAAGCCCTTATACCCGAGACTCACTGCCACCGACTCAACTCCAGCTCCAGTGACCTGTGGACGGAGCAGAGCTAACTGCCCCAGCAGCTTCCAAGGCTGGAAGTCTTTACGGAAGCTGACTCCCCCTCCTCTTTCTCCTGAGATGCAGCTGGTGGGTTTGAGCTGCTGACCTTTTAGGTAGTAGCCTAAGCTCTTAACCACCAGAGCGGCTCTGAGCTGGCCAGAAACGTGGAAATCTCGTAGTGCTGAATGAAGAGGCGGCAGCTGCCGACGTGTCTGAACAGGTTAGTCTCATTTTTTAAGGCATGACAGGTCTACCTATGTGTTAGTGCACTTAGGGGAAATGCTTATTAACTTCCTAACGATGGTCACCTGAGGAGAAGAGAGGAGTTTTAAGGACTGTCCCTTTCTGTACCGAACATTTCTGAATTTTTTATGAAGTCTGCTTTTGTAATCCAAAAGACAAAACCAAAACCAGCATGATAGTAGTACACGAGGAAGTGGACAGAGCCACAGAATAAAGTGAAGAATCTAGAAATGGATTCCTAAAGACACAGGAATTTGGGAATGATAAGGGGGGCATTTCACACCGCTGAAAATTAGATTTTTTCATGGGGCAGCCCTGCGTTGCTTTTTAAAAAAATTATTAAGCCAGACCCGTAACATTCCGCCTACCACAAAAACAAATTCCAGGCAGAGAAGAGATTTAAGAGTAAAACCTGGAAGCTTAAGAAATCAAAATGACTATGTATGTACAGTCTTCGGGTGAAGATGGAGGAGACCTTGCTAGGTAGGATACCAAAGGTAAAAACTAGAATAGCTTGATAATCTTAGCTACACAAAACTTTTAATAGCACCAATTAAGCCCAATGATTTCTAATCCCTTCCTCTAAGAAGTCCTGATGCAGCGCCCCTCCCACTCCACCACCACCTGGAGCCTGTTACGGCTCTAAGTTTCCAGAATTTACCATCTCACACACACAAGAGGCTGGGACACAGGAGGTGCTAACTAAATTTTCTTGGAGACAGACTGGCTGTGCTGGTGTGGGGTTCTGTGTGACCCCAGGCACAGGGCGAAGGACAGGAGAACTGGAGACTCAACTCCACAAGGAGCTCACTGGCCTCAGGGAGTCTATGCCATGAGTGAGGCCTGACTCGAGAGTGTCTGGGGAAAAGGGGTCCCTGGAGGAGGGTACGAGGCCATTCCTAAGCTCATTTAAGGCGCTCAGGGAGGACCCACAGGCACAGGGTGGTCAGAGTGAGGAGGGAAACCAGGCAGCAGTGGGGCCTTGGCAGGGTGGACAAGCTGTGTGTGTGGTTCAGCACGCAGAGGATGATGGGGAGGCAGAGCGGAGCAGGAGCTCCTGATGGGCCCTGTGTTCTAACTGGCCCCTCCTCTGCCCCACCCATTGGAGCTCGGGGTGTGGGGGGGGTGTCTGTCCCCACCTGAGTGCGGGGAACCTCTGTACAGTTCTGCAGTTCTGCTCTGGCCCCAAGGCTGGGCATGGGAGGCCCCCAAGCTCTCACCTGCAGGGCGGTGCCTCCCAGCTCCCGCTGGGTGCTCATGTTAAGCAGCAGATCCAAGGCCGTCTGGGTGGCTATTGCAGTGGACTCCTCAGCTCCTGGGGGACAGGGGTGGGGACCTGGGCTTCAGAAAGTGCTGGAAAGCTGGCCTCAGTGCCACCTATCCCTTCCTCCAGCCCCCACCTGCTTGGCTTGCGCCCTGCCCGGCTCCTGTCCCCTCCTTCGGAGCTCACCCTGTTGGTAGATGATGGTGGCACCACTTAGAGTTTCAGGACAAAGTAACGGGGTCCCAGCTGACTGGAAAGGTGCTGCGTCTGGGGTGACCTGTGGGATGGGAACACAGTCAAGCCTGAGATGGGGCCGAGAGTCCAAGGCCAACTGCTCAGCTCCTCGGCTCCTCTTGTGCGTCAGGCATGTTACATCTGTGAGCCTGTTTAATCCATGGTATTTACCAGCCAAAATGCGCACACAGAGGCTCAGGGGGTGAGCTGACCCAAGACTCCACAGCTGACAAGAGTCAGAAAAACCATGTGGCTTCAGCACCTGCGTGCGTCCAGCGCCCCCTGAGCCCATCTGCCTGTGGCTACTCTGTGGGCAACCCGTCCTGCTTCCCTGCTTTGTAACAGAGCCTGGATTTCCACCGGGAAACAAGGTATCCAGCTACAGAAGACGCTTCCCAGCCTCCCTTACAGCTAGGGGAAGAGCAACTTAACAAAATCCTCTGGTCAAGTTCAAGAAGGTGAGAACCAAGTCTATCCTTCTCTCAATCCTTCCTCCTGCTTCCTTCCTAGGATGTGGCTGTGATGGCTGGAGCACCTGCAGCTACGCTGGGCCATGAAGTAACCATGAGCCTAGAAGCTGTGTGTCTGGGATGGCTGAGCACAAACACAATGAAAGCTTAGTCTTTGATGAGTGTGGAGCCACTACACAGTCCTGGTCTGTGGAACTTTCATATCCCTTTACATGAAAGAAAAAAAATTTAATCTTAATTATGCTATTGTGATTTTCTACACTACACCAGAAAGCCACCTTTCTGAGCTCAGGGCTGGCATAACCACAACTTCAGCTGATCTTCGTGGCACTAAGAGGCGGGGATCATTCCTGCACCCAGATGCTGAGGCTGGGAGAGGTGGTGTGACAGTCCCGCCCGGTGCTGCCTCATGTGCTGAGCTTACTTACCCCGGGAGGGTGTGAGGGGCTGAACGGGGGCGCGGGGGCTGCGTTGTGCTGCTGCTGCTGCTGCTTCAGCTCCTCAATCTGCTGCAGAGAGAAGAAGGGGCGACGGCGGGAAGGGGGCTCCTCGGGGTGGCGCCGCGCCCACTCCTCGAAGCTGCTCGCATGGCGGCACCGAACGTGCAGACGCAGGTTCTTCTTGTGGCGCGTGCTGAAGTGGCAGTAGTCACAGGCGAAGGGTTTGGCCCCTGTCAGCACACAAGGCAGGGAGGGTGCTTGCACCTTGTCCAGTCCTGGCCTCCCTGCTTAGGAAGCCTTCCCTGACCTCAGGGACTGCCCACCCGAATGGCTCTCTGTGACTCGGCCCTGGGCACAGGCGGGCCCATGGTGAGTCCGCTGCAGCGGTCAAGGCCAGGGATGAACCAAGTCAGCCCTCAAGACCCAGAGTTCCCGCTAGTGACTGTCTCCATCGCCATCCGGCCTAATGCCCTCCTGTGAATCATCTGCTCTGGTGACAGAAGTCTGGCTAAAAAAGCGCCGTGCTAGGCTCCCTTTTTCTAATCTTCCCACAGTGTGCCCACAGGGATGGACACCATGAGTAGGAATTCCAGCATCAGACTTCTTCAATGGGTCAAAGATACGATGCTGCAGCTGCTGAGGCCAGAGCCTCTCAGAACCAGCACATGGCAGAGGTGCTTCTCATTGCCCCACTGCCCACGGCTCAGAGAGGGCAAGGATCGGCCCAGGCCACCAACCGAGAGGTGACTGAGTTGGGACGTGAGCTCAGACTAGCGAGTGAGCACGTCATCCAAAGGGGTCTGCAGACTCCATCTCCCCTGGGGCAAGGGTGCCCAAGAGGAAGAGGGTAAGAGCTGAGCCTCTGATCCAGTTAGGGGCTGAGGCTGCCTGGGTGCCAGGCCCACTGACCTGTGTGCTTGACGGCCACATGGGACAGCAGGAAGTCCTCCCGGAAGGTGCGGTAGGGACAGAAGCTGCATTTGAAGGGCTTGTCACTGACGTGGGACAGCTGGTGGTTCAGCAGTGCCTTCTTGTCTTCGCAGACAAACTCACAAAACTCGCACTTGAACCTGGAAGCAGCCGGAGGGAGGGGAGCTCAGTGACGGGGTGGGGCTGCTCCCAGTCTCAGGGGACTCAGTGTGAGAGGTGTGTGGAGTGTGCATACCTGCGGTTGGCAACAGCCTGGATGTGTGTGAGCAGGTGCATCTTGAAGGTGTAGCGCTTCTTAAAGGACTTCCCGCACTGGGAGGAGTGGGGAGAGGGTGAGACGGTGGGGGTCCCGCAGGGAGGCTCCCTGAGCCCCAGCCCTGCCCTCGGCTCCCACCTACCTTGTCACACATGTGGGGCTTCTCAGTGCTGTGTGTCTTCAGGTGCTGTGTGAGCCTCTTCTGCATCGGGTACACACGGCCACACACGGGGCAGGGAAAAGAGCTCAGCTTCGGGGTCTGAGTCAGAACCAGAAGGGGTGGGATTGAAGAGGAAGAAAGGAACCTTTCACCTCCTAAGCTGGCACTCTCCATCGATCCCCTGAGCCACCGTTCTCATGCCAGGACTCCCCAACTCACCGGATCGGGCCTCTTCTTCCTGGAGGGAGAGTGGCACAGAGTTAGAGCAGAGCTCCCAAAGCCCAGCCCAGCCGACAGCACCCCCACATAGATCCGACCCAGCCTCAGCTAAGTGCCCCTACCCACATCAGAGGCCCTTTCCAACTGGGTCTCTCTGGAGAAAATGTTAAGACGTGTGCAGTGAGTATGTTCTGGACTCAGCTACCTTTGTGGAACTCTGTTAGGTACAAAGCACGCTGGTATATTAAAGGCTCTGGGAAGTCCTGCAGGGATGAGCTCTTTTGAAACATAATTAATTTGGTATTTCTTAACTTTATCTGCAACCTATAGACAACCTTTGTCCAACTTTCTCCAAAGATGTGGGGCTGACTCCTCAAAGCTTCAGAGCCAATTACAATTCAATAAGCTTTGTGAGGCCCCAAAGATTTTTATTTTTCCCTTGATCTTGTCTTAAGTTGGCTCTCTCAGCACTGTGAGAAACGAGTCATCAGGTCAGAATCATTTACTCGATCCCTTTAGGTACACAATGTCCTTTAACCCCTTCATAGCAGCCTTCTGCCTCTTACAGAGAAAAAGGAAAGCTTGCAGCAAAGAAGAACCTGAAGTTGGGACCTCAAGGCCCTGCCCTGCCCCTTTACACACCAAGAATGATCTGGAAGGAATCATGGTGCTGACCTTGTTGGCAACGTGCTGTGAGTGGGCTGGCTCAGAGCAGGGCTTAGTGTGTGAGGACAGTGGTCCCTGGGCCTCTACTTGCCCCATCCCCGACCCTGACTGCCTCCACACTCCCGTCCCACCCACACCCACTGACCGGTCTCGGCTGTGCACGGCGGCGTGCCTGATGACGTCCTTCCGGTAGACGCTTGTGTAGCTGCACTCGTCACACTTGTAGGGTTTACTGCCCACGTGGTTGAACATGTGTTCCTGGGGGGAGAGGTGGCAGGGCTGACGGCGGAGGTCCAGCCTCCCCTGCATCCCCACCACTCGCCCTCAGCTGACAGTTGTGTTATTTGGGGAACGGCTCACAGAACGAGGAGAGAGGTGGAGGGCAGAACTTCGGTAATAAAGGCTAAGAAAATGCTTCCCGCGGTGCAGCGCATGCTCACCATCGGGGTTAGCCATCCCTACGGACCAGGCTGCCAGAGCTCCCTGGGCTCATCACATAAGAAACTGAGGCTCGGGGGACTCCCAGTGACCCTGACCCTGTGGATGGCAGGGCGTGGGGCTGGACTCTTCCCCGAGTGGACTGTGCTCTGGAGGGTAACTTCAGGACACGAACCCTGGGTCTGTGAGGTGGGGAGGCACTGTGCACAGGAAGCTCTGAAGCACTGACCCATTGCCATGACGTGGACTCTGCCTCGTGATGACCCCGGGGCCTCACAGCAGAACTGTGCACCATCAGGTCTGCAGTGGCTCGGTTTATACATGTGCAATGCCAGGACTTTCCCTCCAAGGTGTCCATGGGCAGACAACCTTTTAACCTTTCAGTTAAGGGCCAAGTATACTAACCACTTACACTACCCAGGGACTCCTGCAGAAAATACAGGGGCTGTGAAATTGTACCATCTACAGACAACTCCCTATGCCACTGTGGCCAGGCCAAGCTGCAGGTTCTTGGGTCAGTAAAACGGAGCTGTCAACTCCAAGAGCCACCTGGGAGGCTGGAGGATGAAAGGAACGTGTGGGACAGGGCCTGGGGCCGCAGGCACTGCTGCTGTCCACCTGAGGGTTCATGAAAAAAGGGGCCCCCTTTCATAAGACAGGGGGGTGCCCTCAGGTGGTACAATTGTTTAGGGGCTGACCTGCTCATCAAAAGTTGATGTTTCGAGTCTACTGGCCTCTCCACAGGAGAACAGACAGTCTCCTTCCACCAGGACACCTTTCAGGTTTCAGCCTTGGAAACCTGAGAACTGACAGTCGAACTGAAGTCAGTGGCTCTGGTCTGTTCTTCCTGGAGACAGACTACTGCCATCGGCTGGAGAGCTGTCCACACATTCTGAACTGGACCAGAATGAACTCCCATTCTGCACACGTTTACTCTATGCTGCCCGCTGCCTCACTGTCTCCTCCCCGTCCGAGGGGACCCTCAGCCTTCCTCCGGTCTGGGCTCGGGGGTGACGCCCTCACCTTCAGGGATGACCAGCGGTGGGAGCGGTAGCTGCACTGCAGACACTTGAAGAACTGGGGGTCACTCGCCTCGTGGGAGTTAACGTGGAAGCGCAGGTCCTCGTGGGTCAGGAAGCGGGAGCCGCAGAGGCGGCACAGGAACGGCCTCAGCAGGGGCTTGGGCGACTTGTAATAGTACCTGCCAGGAGGGGAGAGGACAGGTTGGCAGGGCTGGGGGCCCACAGAGGAGGAGGCACGCAGCACCCCCACCCCACCTGTTTCACGTACTTGCGATATTTCTTGCCAAGGAAGCGTCGGGAGGGCCGGCCTCGGCGTCGGGGCAGGGCGTCAGGTTCATCCTGGCTGGAGGGGGCTGTGTTTTCTGCATCAGACTGGCTCACAGCTGGTTCCACGAGGGCCCTCCCTGCCCTGCCCAGGGTGGTGAGGTGTCCTGGGCCAGAGGAGCTGGGAGCCTCTGGGTCCTGTGGCTCCGAGGGGTTCTGTCCACTCTGGGAACTCACTAGAGCCTTTCCTTCCAGACCTGCAGGAGCACAGACATCATAAGCCACCAGCAGTGTGTCACCACATTTGTTCACAGACCCTCTGCACATGCAGGCAGCTCGCCTGGAGGGGAGAGAGCCCCGACTCCTGCAGGTGAAGGGTGGTCAGAAGCTTGACTGCAGCAGGACACTATCAGGAGCAGCCGTGGGGAGCTGCGGTCTCCTTGAAAGGGTCCCGGGTCCAGAGGTGCCTGCATCCACTGCCCTCTCTAAGCCTCATTTTCTCCATCTGTCACGGGGAGATGAGTCCCTGGGCTGCGACCTCATGAGAACATTCCAAAGTCTGGGCCATGGGACATTTTCAGGTTGGTTGTTCACTGAGAGGGGAACGGCATGGTTGAAGGGCCGGGGAGGCAGGAGATGGAACCTAACATTTACCACTGCATTCCTCTAGAAAGCTTTCCATTTCATGTACACCCTGTAACTCCAAAGTTTCTATCATTTTTTAATCCCTGAGTCTTTCCTGCCCCTGGAACACTCCAGGCCAGGGAAACTAGGACAGCAATGCTGCTGTCAGTACCCGCTCTTCTCTTTGCATTTCAACAATTGTACTTCACACATATCTTACTAGCATCAGGAGACGATTTTCCTGTCATAAAGCTGAGATGTTGTTTTCTGAGTTACAGTTTCTCTAACTTGGGTATGGAGGGGCTTTCCCCTTCAAATGCGGGAGGCCTCTCTTCCCCCTGGTTTGAGATGTCTCTCACAGCTATCTTACCATCTGGAAGGTCTGAGGTCTCCAGGCGAGGCAGCTTCCGAGGCCGGCCGGGTCTCCTCCGCGGTCTTGGAGTACTGGGCATGGGGCGCTGGGGTCGCAACTGCCGGCCCCGGGGCTCATCCTCCGCCGGATTGTAGTCACTGTCCTCTGTGCAGACAGCAAGAGGTGGGATGTCAGCAGCTTCTACCCTTCACACAGGTGCCCTGGGAAGAGGCCTATGTCCCCATCTTGCCCTATCGGTGTCTTATTCCACCTTCAAACCTGCCAGTAAGGCCTTCTCCAGGAAGTCCTCCTGGTTAGGAGCATTCCTCCTGAATCCTGGAAGTCCTTCCTCCACAATTTCCCTGGCATCTCTGCTAGCACACACAGTGCTTTGATGAAAATTCAGAATAGGTAGTCCCCTTAAAACCTCTCACAACTATTGGTGGAAACAGTCATAATAAATGTGCACACAGCATCATTCTATCACAAAGTTATCAAAGACAACAGCCACAGGTGGTCTCTGTGGGCCTCATTCAAACTGAGGGGTGCCTTTTAGGGCAAAACACTTGCTGGGTTTTACAGACTTAATATGAAAAAGTGAAAATATTCCTATAATGTACTCTTTTTTTTTTTTTTGCAATACAGCCATTGGAGTTTTAAAAAATTTTTTCATTATTGCATACTTTCTTCCCTTCCTTCCCCTCCCTCCCCAGCCCACTTCACAATGTACCCCTTGTTCCAGATTGTTTATAACATACTTTTCAGACTGTTGAAATGATAATATTTTAGAGCAGTACCACAAATACAGAAGAAAAATTAATCTCGCCTTTCTTTTTACTTTCTTTTAAATGCGATTACCAAAAAAGTTAGCAGTGCACGTGTGGCTTGTCCCAGCTCTACGGAACAGCTCTGCGTGAAGCTCTGAGACACAGGCTGTTGTTCTGTGCACAGCCTGCATGCCAGCACACGGAGATCCTAGTCCCAGAGCTCGGCCACGTGTGCTTCACACTGAAGCCACCTGTTGCTGCGTTTGTGCCAGTTCCTCTTTGCTGGCCCTCTAGCTACAAGTGAATATCTGGGACAGGACGGGGGTGAGAGTGGCAAGCCGGGGAACTACGGTGACCTACCTTCCAGGTCATCGATGGCACCAGCATCTACGATGTCATCCTCCTCCTCCTCCTCGTGCCCTTCCTCCTCCTGGGCCTTGGTTGAAGCACCCCATTTCCTCGGACGTCCTTTCTTACCGGCTGCCACAGCTGTTACTGCGGCTGCTGGGGAGGGGAAGGCAGGCCTGTTGGGTCCAGCTCCCCGCAGCACCCTGCTCCCGGTCCCAGGTGGGTGGGGGAGGCAGACCTACCTGGGCGGAAGTGCCGTTCCCGCATGTGCCTCAGCAGCGTGGCCTTGGTGTTGCTCCGGTATTGGCACATCTTGCACTTGAACTGCTGCACCACCACCACCTCCATCATGGCCTCCAGGCTCTGCAGGTCTGGTTCCTCAGCCTCGGGGCCTGGAGGTGGCTGTGCCATCGGTGAGCTGGGACCCCCGCGCAGTTCCTCAGGCGGCTCCAGGCTGGGACCCCCGCGCAGTTCCTCAGGCGGCTCCAGGCTGGGACCCCCGCGCAGTTCCTCAGGCGGCTCCAGGCACGTGGATGTGGATGTGGGGCCGTCAGCCAGGGACTCGATGGCTGCCAGGCTATGGGCCAGGGCGGAACTGGACATCGGCGATGCCAGGGGGGCTCCTGTGGGTGAAAGAGGAGAGTGGTGAGTGAGGGAAGCTGAATACCAAATTTAATATTAATAATAAGCCAAATGCTATATCAGCATGTGAGGGCACTCTGTGGCACTAAGGCATTCTTATGAGTCAACTTTACCGAACCCCTCCTTCTTGAGATAAGCATAAGGTAAACAATAGAGACGAACTTGGTCTTATTTGCAGAAGACTTCCCGTGATCCTTTGTTTTTGTTTTCAACTCCCTTATGATTTTCCTTTGTTTACCTTCCAGATGTACATCATTGCAATCACTTGTTATGCATCAGAGAGTTGGACAGTAACTAGGGAGGATAGAAGGAGAACTGATGCCTTTGAGCTGTGTGGTGCTGGAGAAGAGTATTGAATGTACCCTGGACTGCCAAGAAAGCAAACAGATTCATCCTGGAGAGGGTTAAACCAGGCTACTCCTTGGAGGCAAGGATTCTGGGGCTTTGTCTGACATACTTTGGACATGTTGTAAGGAGGGACAGGTCCTTGGAGAGGGACGTCATGCTTGGTAGGGTGGAGGGACGGCGCAGGAGGGGAAGACCCTCTATGAGGTGGATTGATTCAGTGACGGGGGTAATCGGGATGGGTGTGTCAGAGGCAATGTGATTGGAACAAGATAGAGCAGGGTTTAGGGCTTTTGTACATAGGGTTGATTCTCAAGAAATACACAGAGAGGCGTGGCTCGAGGAGCTTCAGTCAATGAAACTGCTGGCCCCAGTCTTTATCTTATCTCATTCTTGGTTTTCTGTCTCATTATTAATAACTATAAAAATCCTTTACCCTCGGTCTGTAACAGGTGAGGATGGCATTGACAGGAGAGTGACAGACAGGGACCAGGGACACTAGAAATCCAACTTCCCACCAAAGGCCAGAGGGTAAACTGGGACTAAGAGCAACAGATGGCCTGGCACGCCTGCACAGGGAGCCAGAGGCTGAGTCGGGGGCCTCACCATCGTCTGGACCTTGCAGGATCAGGAAGCGTGTGGTCTCGGCTGCTCCGCCCTCAGCACTGGTCACAGTGATGCAGCCTGGACAGAGAAGGGGGATCTCAGTTGCAGACTCAGAGTCCTGCCAGCCCCTCACCCCCTCGGACTCAATGTCTGCTCGTGGGGGCTGTCAGGAAGTTCTGGGCGAGACAGTCTGGCCCAACAGCCCGCCTGAGCTCACAGCCCACTGTGCTCTACTGCTTGCAGGGGACAAGAGGTTATTTCATTCTTTCAACCTCAGATCTTTCATCTGGAATGTGAAGGCAAAAACATCTACCTTTTGAGATTAACAACCCCCAAAATGAAAAATCCTTCCTTACCGGAAAGATAAAATGAGTGGTTGTATAGAAGATGCTGGGAACGGTCCCCACCCTGGCACAGAGGAAGCTATTTTTGTTTCTGATATTTACCGAGCGTTGCGACGTGCCAGGAACTATGCTCAGAACATCCCCACCCTGCCACATTCCCCTGTCAGCGGGGGCAGTCGCTCCCCTTTTATATGTGCTGAGAGCTATCAGGCCATGTGCCCCAGGTCACAGGACCGATCACAGATGGTGGGCCCCTCCTCATCTGACTTACTCTGGATGAGTTCGGGCCCGATGGTGGACTCGATGATCTTGTCAATGGCCGAGCCCAGGTCGGAGGAAGACGCCGTGCAGTCGGATACCAGCATCGTTGGGTCTGGGAGCACGTTGGAGTGCACCAGGGCTGGCGTGCCACCTGTCACCCCCACTACTGGCCCGCGGGATACAGAAGACGAATCTGGGAGGTAGCCATGGGGCAGGGGGTCCGTGCTCGAGCTGCTCTCAGACACCTCCTCCTGGGGATCAGGAAGATGCAGGGTGAGGGAGGCTCCGAGCCAGCGCTGGGCAGGGAGGTGACTGGACAACCTGACCTAGGGACGGAGTGAGCAGAGCACATGTCCGTGCTCAGCCCCATCTGGGACTGGGAGGACAGGCCCTCCAGCCAGAGAGCCCCCAAAACAAACTCCAGTGCTGCTGGTTCTGTCTGGTGAGAGCTCGCCTGCAATCACAGCAAGGGCTCATGTTCACCTCACAGACAGGTGGGGCGCTTTTCACCAGGCCTCTGTCTGAAACAGGGAGCCCAGGTGGCTTAGCATAAGCAACGGCGCAGTTAAAGAAGAGGTACACGGTCTGCGTTCACCCAGCTGCTCCGTGGGAGACCGGTGGGCACTCTCATCTCATGGGATTAAATGCCTCTGCAAACCCATCGTCGCGTCAGCTATGGGTCGGTTCCAACTCGGCGGTACAACTCTCTGAAACGCTCTTCCTTTACCTGTGCCTCACGTCAGTCTTCTGACCACTCAGCCAGTGCCTCAGTGCCAAGGACTGCCCGTCAGCACTGCAGTCCGTGTACTTCCCTGTCACAGCACTGCTCACTCACCACTGTAGTATCCTCTCCACAAGGGCCAGAACCATGCTGACTTTGTCTCCCCAGCTGGATCCCCAGGGCCCCAGCACAGGCTGGCCCACGGCAGGCCCATTTAAATTGAATGGAGGAACCCCAGGATCCCCAGGTAGGGGTCACTGTTGTGAAATTCTATCATTATTTTATAAAGAATAGTCTGCTCTTGATAAAATTCATGGCCTCAGCAGCTCAGTGGAGAGTCGCCATGGGTCAAAATTAACTCAAAGGCAGTGGGTTATTGTAAAGAAGGGTGTCCCTGGTTCATGGTTAATGTGCTCTGCTCCTAATCGAGTGACTAGAGGGTCCCGTCTACTAAGAAGCACCTTGGAAGAAAGGCCTGGCAATCTATGTCAAATCCACTGAAACCTCTTGAGGGCACAGTGCTGACACACGCTAGGGTGCCACCAGTCGGAATCAACCCCACAGCAACTGTGTTTCAAGTGACATCTTGAATGTGATCACTGTTTTGCAGATGACACTGGCGATGACCTATCTGTGCTGAGCGCTTGCTAGTGCTGAACACTGTTCTAACTGGTTCACAAACATTAACTCATCTAAGACAATCAACCACGATGCTCCTTGGAGGCAAGGGCGGTGAAACTTTGCCTCATACTTTGGGCCTGTTGTTAGGAGCCGAGATACTTGGAGAAAGACATTATACTCAAAATGGACAAAGACGTTATGCTCAAAAGACGGGCAAGACCCTCAGCGATAAGGACTGACACTGTGACTGCAACAACAGGCTCTAGTGTGACAGAGATGAGGGGGATGGGACGGGACGGGGCAGGGTTCAGATCTGACGTTCAGATTGTCCCCATAAGTCATCACTGACTCAGTGGCACCTAACAACAGACAGTCCTCAGAAAACCCCTGTGATGCAGGTGTGTTTCTCATTCCAGAGTCTCCCCAAGATGACAGAGCTAGGAAGTGGCAGCCAGGATGAGATGGGTTAAAAGTGTGTCTGAGAGAATGTCAGGTGGCAGTTCACAGGGGCACCTCACAGGCAGGGATCACTGCCACAGGAGACCAGTAAGGTTTCCCAGGGACTCAGGCCCAGGACTCAAGGATCACCTGTCCCCTAAGTGTTAGGAGAGTCAGTCAAGGCTTTTGCTGAGATCTGCATCTTGGCTGTCTGCACTCTGTGCCTTGGTTTCCTCATTCAAAAGGGGGGGGGGGGGTGCATTTATAAGGCAGGAGGTTTAAGCGAGAAAATCTAAATGAGAGTCTTTCTTCCCCTGGTCCTGGGCTTCTGGGAACCCAGAAACCTCCAGTCAACCCTGAGGGAGCCTTGCTGGCTGGGTCTCTGGTTGCCAGGCGCTGCTGCCGGGGGCACCTGCCACCACCCGCGCTGTCCGACCCGGTCCATACCACCGTGCTCCTGCCTCGGTCCGAGCTTTGCCCCACGAAGGACTCGTCGGCCTCTACCGGGGCCGGGGCCGGGGCGGCTGCGGCGTCGCTGCTGTCGGCCGACACAGCTTCCGAAGTGCCCACGCCCAGGCCGCTCTCGGAGGGCTCCTCGGGCAGGCCAGGCCCGGGGGTCGCGTCGCTACTGCTCTCCACCTCGTTCTCGTCCATCGGCTCTGGGGGGCTGCCTGGTAAAGGGGCGCAGGGTCTGGGACCCTTACTCTGTAGGAAAAGGGGCATGGGTTGGGACAGGTGGGCCACTTCCCGGGCCTTGGCAACTGCAGCCCTCGCATCTGCACCCTTGCACCCATTTTGCAGATGCAAAGACTGAGGCTCGGGCGGGGCGGGGCTTTCTCGGGTCCACAGAGGGGAACGCTGGGGAAATGGGACTGAGAAACCCTAGGAAGCTGTCTCCCACGTCCAGCGAGGTAGTCAACAGCCGGTGATCGCGACCCTTCCCTCATTTCCCCCACCCCCACGCCGTGACTCCCAATCCGAAAGCCCCCGATCGGTCTCAGTGGTTCAGCCCTGCGGCCCCCAGGCGCCCCCCGTGCAAGGTGGGTGGTACAGCCGGCAGGGCCCCGGGTCAGCGCTCCGCTCCCCCCCGCCCCTCGTTCCCCTGCGGAGGGGGCTGACAGAGACGGTCCCGGGGCCTGGTGACTCGGGGCTGTCCCCGGCGCTGCCTGCGTTCCAGAGCCGACGCCATCTTGTGGCGGCGCCAGGTTTCCGCTCAGGCAAGTGCGAGAGCGACTAAAGGGCCTGGGACCCCGGGGCCCTGTTCGGACAGCCCCGCCGGCCCGGTACCTGGCTCTGGGGTGTCCTCGCAGTGCGCCCCCATTCCACAGCAGGGCACATTAGTAAAGTGTGACTCTAGTCGACACTCACCGGATGCTTCTTTAGTTTCCTTCTTCTCTGACTCCGGCATCGACGAGGTCGCCATCCTCTTTCCCCCCCGCCGCGGAGGGACCCATGACCATGCTGTGCCGGAACTACTTCCGTAATCGTCTTGGGGTAAAACAGGTTTCTAGGGTGCCGGAAGTCCGCGCTGAGGTCCCCAAACCGTATTCTTGCTTGTATTGACCCTGAAAGGTTGCAATTTTGCCTGCTTTCTTTTATGGGAAACGCCGTAACGTGGGGACTACTTTTTCTCACGCGGAGGGTTACAAGGATTATGGTGACGTCACAGGCTGGGTCCCTCGCCGGGGTCGCTGGGTTGGGCGTGGCGAATCAGACTCACTCCTCAGGGGCGTGGCCACGCGGCCTGGCCACGCCCCTCCCGGAAGAGAAGCGGAGCGCGCTCCCGGGAGCGGAAAGGAGCGTGGGGCGGCCCTAGATTGTAATTTGGTAGGAAAGAAAGAAATGTTCACAGTTCCTTTGCTGGGCTCTTTACCGATAATTTAGTGCCCTCAGCATGCCTAATCAGACCTCTCCTGATGAGAGTTGATAATGCTTTGGGAGGGGAGCTGGTAATCCTTTAACTAGATGGGAAAACAGCTAGTTCAAGGTCACGTCAAGTACGGGTTTTCGAGTCTCGGGGAGGCAAGTTCAGATATCGGGAGTGGAGAAGTGAAGATCTGATACTGATCACAGGCTCTAACTGGGGTGTGCATTTTTTTATTTTTATTTTATTATTTTGTGTGTCTGTACTGTCAAATCGGATCTGGCTGGTACAGGAGGAGGTTGTCCCTTTTTTCCAGCAGAGCAGCTGGTGGATTCGAACCGTATATCTCTGGAATTGCAGTGCAGCTTCTCGCCACTAGGCCACCAGAGCTTCCCCATGGGGTTTGCATTTTTAATTATTGGCCTTTAAGGATTAAGACATTCTCCCACACCTGTCCTCTGCAGGAAGAGAAATTTCTCTCTTGATGTTGGAAATACCACCTTCGTTTACATCTTTTTAGTATTTTGACATCCAGTAGCATTACAGAGGGATCCTGGCACCCTGACTTTGTGTCTCTGTGTCATACAAGACATTTTCCTCAAGTGAAAGGTACACATTTTGGAGAAAAAAACCCAACCCCATCCTGTGGGTCCGTTCCAGCTGATGGATACCTGCCCTCTGCTACCTGACGCTGCAAATCTTCATGGGCGAAACCCGCCCATCTTTCACCCACGGGTGCTGGGGGTGCGAACCACTCGAGAGGCGCAAGCTGACCCTTCAGTTGACTACCGGACTTGCAAAGCACGTCACCTTTCACTGCAATCAAGTAAAAACCAACTCGTAGCTGACCCTCCTCTGGGTTTCTCAGCCTGTAAATCGGTAGGAGGGGAGGGGTGGCCTTTAGGTTAGCAATGTGACTCCCTAAGTGCCACACCACCATAGCCCCCTTTTGGAGAAAAGAAACGTAAAAAGTAATTCATGTAGAAAAAGTTTATTAAGGAGAAGAGTGCTTTAAGTTATATTTGTGTGTCCCTGAATATGAGAATGTTTACCTGGTTCTTTGCGAGGGGCAGGTTTTGGTATAGGGGCTGGAGCGTGAAGATCCCAGATGGATCAGGACCTGATCCTTTCTCTCCCTTCGTCTGTAGGACCAGGCCTCAGGCCAGTCCCAGACAAGGTCAGCACAGCCTGATGGTCATTGACTTTGCACTTCTTGGGATGTTCGACAGGACTCCTTGGTCCTGATCCCTCAACTCCACCTCTGTCATGCGTTGTCAAGCTTCTGCCATGGGGCAAGGACATTGAATCATGTCCGCCCAAATAAGTGGCAACTTGCCTAGGGTATGATATTTATGTTATATAAGGTTGGCAGTTTGAACCCTGTAAATATTTACAGGCTCAAAAACACAATACAAGGGCACCATGAGTCAGCATCAACCCCGCAGCAGTAGAGGGGGTTTTTGCATGTTAATGAAGCAGGGTAGGAAGTGCTGATAGCCTCTTGGGTAAGGAAGAGTGTTGCCAACCCAAGGGCCGGAGGTTCAGATCCACCAGCTTCTCTACAGGAGAAAGATGGACAGTCTCTTAACCCTGTGATTTACAGCCTCTGAAAATCTGCTGGAGAGTGAGTCAAGAGTGAGTTGCGACCCAGTGTCAATGAGGTTTTTTTAGTTTTATAATTTTTTTAAAAAATTTTTATTATTTTCTATGTGTGTGTACCAGAGGTTTTTTTTTAGTTTTAAATGAAGCAGGGTCGCAAGGTTGTGGGGTGCCACCAGGTCGAGTAGGACTCATAGCGACCCTGTGAAGAACAGATCTGAACCCTGTCCTGTGCCGTCCTCACAATCTCTGACACACTTGAGCCCATTACTTCGGTCACTGTGTCAATCCATCTTGTTGAGGGTCTTCCTCTTTTCCACCATCCCTCCACCTTCCCAAGCATGATGTCCCTCTCCAAGGAACATGCCCAAAGTAATGTGAGACAAAGCTTTATAATCTGCTTCCAGGGAACACTGGCTGTACCTTCTCCAAGACATATCTATTTGTTCTTTTGATAGTCCCTGGAATCTTCAGCATTCTTCTTGAATACCACAGTTCAAAGACTTCAGTTCTCTTGTCATCGTTACTCATTGTCCAATTCTCAGTAACATAGCAAGTCATTGAAAAGACCATGGCCTGAATCAGACACACCTTAGTCCTCAAACTAACATCACTGCTCCTCAATAATTTGGAGAGGCCCCTGACTGCAGACTTTCCCAGTGTAATACATCTCCTCATCTCCTGACAGGTGTACAAAGTATCCAAGTAAGATGACATAGTTCACACTTTCAATCTTTTCTCCATCTATCATGATGTTGCCTACTGATCCAGTCAGTGGCAAGCGTTTTTGTTGTCTTGACATTGAAATGCAATCCATTTTGAAGGCTGCAGGGTTTGATCTCCTGCAACAAGTCAATTAAGTCCAGCCTTCCTCTGATTGGAGTGGAGTTTTCCTAGGGTGTAGCTTGCATCACCTTTTATCTTAACAGGGAAATGGGAGAGAGACGTGAGCAGAGAGGGGGAACTTCAGTACCACCAAGACAGAAGAACCAGGAGCTGAGCACGTATTTTTGATCCAGGTTTCTGTACTGGACAGCTGCTTAACCAGGAGACGCAGGATGAAGGCACCCCCTGAAGCTGGCACCCTGAATTCTTTGGACTTCTAGCCTCCTAAAATATGGTGTTGTGTACTACCAAGTTGAAATGGCTCATAGCCGACCCTCTAGTGGGTTTTCAGAGGCAGTAAATTGCAGGAGAGGAGATTGGCCATCTTTCTCCCACAGAGCAGCTTGTGAATTTGAACCACATACCTTGTGTCAGAAGCATAACTCTTTACCATCTGAGCTGCCTCCCTGAAGTGTGAAGAAGGAAGTATGTCTGTTAAAGCCGTTCACTTGTGCTGTCTCTGTTACGGCAGCACTAGAGAACTAAGGGAGCTTTGGTGGCTCAGTGGGTAAGGACATGTGCTGTCAATTCAAAATCAGGAGGTTCAAATCCACCAGCTGCTCTCTCGAGGGAGAAAGATGGGCAGTCTCCCGTGTGATTTACACCCTGGTAAGTTTGCAGCAAGGAGTCCATCCTGATGCAACAGCAATGAGTTGAGATAATGAAGACTCCTCCGGTGCCTGAAGGAGGCATTGCACCGCTGGCCACGTCACTTTTCATGGCAGGGCACTTAGGAGTAGCCCTATAATAACCCATTCCCATCCTCAGCCCAAATCAGACCCAGCACCCTGGCCTTTGTCACCGAGTCCCAGGATTATAGAATGTCACCTTACAGTGATGACAGCTTGATTATGGAACAGAAGGGAGCCTAAATTGGAAACGTCACAGTCAGTCCATTACAAAGACAAGCAAAGCCTGGTCTCCTGGCTGCTACTAATCCAGGGTTTATTTTAGCTAAATTTGTAAGTCTGGCCTTGGCTTTGTCAGGGAGATTTTTTTTTCCCCCCTCCAGAAACTTTCATTTGTAAGTCTGGCCTTGACTTTATCAGGGAGATTTTTTTTTTTTCTCAAAAGCTTTTTCTTGTGCTTTGAGTGAACGTTTAGAGAGCAAATTGGTTAGCTATTGAATCATTCAAACAGATTTGATTTGTGACGCTTATTTCAGGGCTCATAACTTCAGCACTCTTTGAACCTCTGATCCTCTTTTCTGTTCATCCTCTATCCTGTCCCTTCCTACTCTCTGAGCTTTCTCCGCGGGCAAATCCTGCCCTTCTGATCTCCTGTGATTGATTTTTTGTATGGAGTG